GCTATTAATAACGCTCTGGGAAAAGTCAAGTTTACGCGAATTCTAATCTATTCGAGGGTTATATTTTTCTAGTCAGGATAAACCTAAAATAACTGGATTGGACGGGGATTTAATTATGTTAAAAGCTATGTAGCTATCATGACCGTCTATTGTTACTTTGATAGGATGAGTTTCATGAGTGACATCTCCAGAAGACAAGGGACGACCATCTATGACTTCTACATGTACTAGTTTAGGTTTCTGTACAAAGGGTATTTTACGACTTTTAACAAATTGTTCATCTAAAAAACATGCTGAGGCTCCCGAATCTAATAGAGCAGAGGCTTTGTAATTCTTAGGTCCTAAATATAAGTCTATTATAAAACAAGGAGATGGTTCGGAGGAGAGGATAGGACCTTTATTAGGAATTGTACAAGGTTCCAGCTGCATGGTCCTTATTGTAGCTGGACGAATCCGTTTTCCGACATGTTGTCTTCTTTGACCGTTGTACCCCTCATTTTATAGTTGAATCGTTTCTTTGGACAATGTTGAGCAGTGTGCTTAGGTTCTCCACAATATAAACATAATCCTTCTTGACGACGACGAATCTTTTCTTGCTCAGTTAGGGGTTTAAAACGTACCGCGTCAATTTGCATGTCTTCTACTTCCGAATGTACGTTTGGCAAAGATGTTGATGTTGCCATTGAGTAATAACGTTGAGGTTCCCGTGAATGATTCTCGGATCGAAATTTGAAAAGTCGATTATCACATTTTACCGCAAAATCGATTGCTTGACTCAAAGTTTGAGGATCAGGTAAGTTGAGCATCAATTTCTTTACTTCGTATTGCAATCCATAAAGAAATTGACTGATGAGTGCAGCATCATCCCACTTGATGTCAATTGCAAGTTGTCGAAATTGTGAAGCATATACTGTTACTGAGCGATTTTTTTGTCGCAGAATTCGGATCTTATTTGTTACAACACGAGTTGCATCGTGTTCACCATACATAGATCGAAACTCCGCCAAAAAAGCTTCCAAATTGTCCAATATTGGATTTTGTTGTTCAAGAAAAGACGAAAACCACGATAATGCAGAACCAGAAAGTAGAGTGCCAATAAACTTGACTTGTGATCCTGGAGTTTGATAGCTTTGTGGTTGAAGTTTAATTGCCAATTGTACTTGATTGATGAACCCTCGAAACTTTGATCTTGTACCATCAAATTTCTCAAGTAAGGCAATTCTTGGTTCTCTAGTGCTTATAGGGTGTTGTACAATTGGAGAAGGAACGTGATTTGTTGTAGATGTTGAAGCAGCTCTGATCATCTCTATATCCCCACTTTCTGCTATTCTTGTTCTTTCCTATGTTGGTGAATTGAGTTGATGCATCGCAAGCATTAACTCCCTCATTTGCTCTTGCATTTGTGCCATTGCACTCTTCATTTCAACAAGCTCTGCTATAATGACACTAAGAAGAAAAATTTGTTTGATACTGCTCAAGACAAAAGAAAAGAAAGACTTCATAACAAAGAAGATACTAAGAACAATATCAGTTTAGAAGTGGGTAATCCGCAAACTTCTAATACGTTTATGCCTTGTCAAGAGAAAGGGGTAATCCACTCTTACTCAAGAAAAACAAAGCTCTGATATTGTAAGTACACTCCTGTCAATCTGTCAAGGATAAGAACTCGATGAAAAAACAGTTGAGTCAAGTAAGCCTTCACTCAAAGAAAAGTAACAAAATATGAATAATAAGTATGTATATTGAAAAGAGAAACTAGAATGGCTAGTGCCAAAAGACAAGAAAACTAGAGATCCTTGAAACTAGACTAGAAGCAAGAAAGGAGTTGACAAGAGTGAAGAAGCCTTCACTCTTGTCTCTATATATACTATCTAACTAGGGGCTACGTGGCGACGTTCTATAGGACCTTCAATATGTGTTGACTTTGTAGGACACATGCCTTGACTTATAAGGCAAGTTTTTCTACGTGTGGGCCACATAGTTAGCTTGATCTTCAAGCTAACAACATGTGTGGCACATGGCCAACTTGTTGACCATGTTTCTAATCCAAAAAGTCAATTAAAGACACCTATGAAGTCAAAGCAGCATCTAGGAAGTTTCTAGGAAGGTTCTATATTAAATATTACAGAATTAACTTACTTTTATTTACTTTTACTTACTTCTATCTATTTCTATATGTAATTATTAGCTTACATGATTATGGCCGTGACACATAATTATTTGAACTTTTTTAGGATTTATCACAAGTCTATCATTTGAAATGATGTAACCTAAGAAATCAACTTAAAAAATATGAAATACACACTTTTCTATCTTGGCATAGAGTCTTGCATCTCTTAATTTTTGTAAGACATAATGAATATGAAATTCATATACTTTTGTGCCCTTAGAATAGATCAAGTTTTTGTCTAAATAATAGACAATAAAATCCTCCAAAAGCTCTAAAAAAAAATTATTTATAAGATATTAAAAAGCTGCTAGTATATTTGTAAGTCCAAAAAGTATGACATTATATTCAAAATATCCATACTTGATTCAAAATGTAGTCTTCTATTCATCTCCTTCTTTGATGTGTATCAAATTGTATGCTCCTTGTAGATCTATTTTTGTATAGATCTTGACTTGATTCAAGTGATTAAAATTCGAGATATTAAAAGTAGTCAATACCTATTCTTGATGGTGATCTTGTTGAGTCTTTAATAATCAACACACATATGCAATGATCCATCTTTTTTCTTCACAAATAAAATTGGAGCTGCTGTTGGAGATTTGAAATAACTTTTAATAATTTATGCATTTTATAGTTATCATTGAATAGATTATTTTTATTTTTATATTTTTTTAATAAATTATTAAAATATTAGATTCTAAATTTCTAATCCTTCTAAAAGAACTTTATTTATACTATTAAAAATATATATTTATTTAAAGACTTTTATTTTTATTATTTCTATCTACAATGTTATTCTTAGAATTTTAAAATTATAAAAATAAATAAAATATATCTTATATACAATCTTATTAAGAGAAAAAAATATTAAACATCATTTTTGAGTATTTTATCACTTTAATATTGTAAACATTTCTTAAAAATATATGTAAAAGAAGACATAATTACATCTTTAATATAATTTTTTATAACTAACTAAAATTCTTTCTCTTCTTTTTTGATTTTTTTTATATATATTTATATGCATATATAATCAATTCTTATTATAATCAGTTTATTATTTTATTTTCAATTTATATCACTAAAAGTAAGCTTAAATTTAATCAAATTTTATTATAAAATATTATATAATTATTATCAACCTTGTTGAAAAAGATGATGACTATAGCAAGTGCGTTCATGTATGGTATGTACATACAACATATATCTATTAACTATCTAACAACCTACCTAAACACATGTCCAAAGTCTTTTGTTTTTATCTCATTAATTTTTTAATACTATGTAATGTGCAATAGTGTCATGGCGATTGCTACATCATCCCTATAAATCTTAAGATTATTACTTTACTATAAACAAATTATAAATGTTTGATTGTTAGTTGTTCCATTTTATGTGCTAACCACATGCACCTCAATATCAATGTCTTCACTATCTACTAAATCTTTATTTGATTTAATAATTAGTGCCAAAATCACATGGTTTGATAATTCATCAATTAGTACTGCATTTTCAACAACTTCAAAGAATTCATTTGTCATCAAATATGATTATTTTATACAAGTCAATCTTATGCAAATTCATTGATTTTTGCCATCTAATACTACTATTTACTTGGTATCATTATAGCAAGTGAATAGTAGTATTAGATGGCAAAAAAAGTATTAAACATATGAAAATTGTGGTATTATTTTTTATTTTCAAAGTAGATAATTTTGTTATTATAAATTTTAAGAATATATTTTCTTTTATTTTCTATTCTAATGTTGAATAATGTAAGCTAATAAATAAGAAATTGTTGAATTTATCCATGCAATTGTATTATAATGGCACTTCACCATAAATTGTCAAATATCTTAATATTTAAAATATAGTAGATTCTTTGACTTTCTTATAAAAATTGGAAGGATTTTTTGGCCCATGAATATTTGTACCAAATAGCAAAGTGATATGCTTCATTATATATTTGTTGTCTACATCTTCTAGCAATAGTTGGAAAAGTTTGATTTGAAATCATGTAACAATATAAGCCAACTTTATCAATGTTGAAGATATCACATGGTACACAAGCTTATAGGAATTGACGTAGTTTTTTCAGCTCATCTTTTAATTGCTTTAATAAAGTGCTTTCTACATCACCATGTAAAGCAAAGTTTTTTATGTTATTTCTTGCCTTGAACCCAATTAGTTAATTAATGGAAAATTTATATGTGTCTATGTCAATTCTTGATTCTTTGACAAACTCTTTTGCTTTCAGTTTAAGAATAGGAAGATCAAAGTGAAGCTCTCAACTTTTGGCATTGCTTGCTTGGATCATGAGTGTTTCTTTTAAATGATGCCACTTGCCAATTTGCACATGTTTTTAATATTTTTGCACATTATTAAGCAACTTCTATCATAACTCCAAATTAAAAAGTATTTTTGATACAATTGACTTGTAACACTAAAACTTGTTAGTTAGTTATTCTAATGTTGTTTTTGGATTATCAAACTTTTTTTTGCACATCTTTTCTTTGTCTTACATTCTTAATTAAACATGCTTGGAAGGCATGGTTTAAAGTTGTGGTATGGTTAAAAGAAGGACTAGTTTTAATTCAAACAATGAGAATATGAAACGTGTTTTTTTTAATAAAAAGATGTCATTGAAAGCAAATATAATATGTTACCAATGCCCAAAAGAAACTCAATATTGACTATATTGTTACAATCAACTATATTAACAAAATATATAAAAAATTCATCAATGCCTGGTTAAATGAACCCACCTACCCTCCCTCTCCCCGAGCAGGGCAGGGCAGAGCCTGATCATTGTGTATTCACAAGCTGGATTCTTGTTGTTGACTTGGTTTGTTGACTTGGTTGGTTTGCGGATCCTTTCGCAGTGTGCTCTGGAGCTGGCATCAGTTTTCCGGAGCTTCTTTGTTGTGGGTCTCGGCAGTTTTAGATTTTACTTTGAAGGTCGTCGTCGTCGTCGTCGTCGACAGATTTGCAGTTTCAGAGCATTTTATATTGGTCGAGGGGTTGTTGGAATGTTGGGTTACGGTTCTATTTTTGGGTTGCAGCTGGGGATTGGATTTTCGCGTGTGGGATTGATGTCTTAAGGTCGGTATATCTTGCGGATATTGTAAGAGGGGCTCTGCTTGTGCACAAGTCGCTTGTCTGTGCTGGTGCAGCGTTTGTTGGGCACGATGCAGGAATTTGTTATAGACGTTGCTAAAGCAGGAAAGCTGCGGCACGCGTCGCGGTTAGGAGTAGAACCATTCCTTGCTAGCCTCGCGAAGCCGACTGCAGATTTGGCCCGCGCACCGATTTCTAAATTTCAAGTTGGAGCTGTGGGTCTCGGGGTTAGCGGTCGCATCTTTTTGGGCGTGAACTTGGAGTTTCCGAAGCTTCCTTTGAACCATTCTGTGCACGCCGAGCAGTTTCTCGTCGCAAATGCACTGCAACATGGCGAGAAAAGGCTCGTGTTCATCGCTGTCTCCGCTGCCCCGTGTGGGCATTGCAGGTTTCCCTCTTCACCTATCCTTCGGATTCAAGTGCAGATAACCTTGAATGTCGATCTGCCCTAAAATTTTCTCAGCCGTGTTCGATCTGATTCTGAAGTGAACACGTACTAATTATCTACGATGACATCGCTTTTCATTTTTCTGTCTTTGTTTCTACAATTTCTTCGTGAAGATCACGCATGTTAGGTCGGATGTCATTCTCAAGGAGCTCGTGTTTTTTCTATTGGCTTGGAAATTAGACAATTCATGGACGTCCACGTTGAAGAAGTGTCGATTCTCTGCTAGTGTCTTGAAACTCCTCACACTGGACGAAGGCTTTAGATGTGTTCAGCCTCTACTCTTTGCCCTAGATTTCACAGTTGGCGTTGTCTGTGTTTGCTATTTTGCTGAAGAGAATCTTAGGAATTCCATGGGTTGCGTTTGGATGCTGCAGGCAATTTCTTCAGGAGTTAAGAGATGCAGGGGATATCCGATTGTTGATCACAGATGGAAAGGATCCCCAAGTGCGTCCACTTTCGTACTTCCTCCCACACAGATTTGGTCCAGACGATTTAATGTCCAGAAACTTCCCCCTCCTCCTTGAGTCGAGAAGTAATGATCTTATCTTAGTAAATTCTGCAATGAGTGAAATTAATTTTGACATTTCCCGCGAGGAAACCAACGAAGATTTGGCAGAGAAGGACTCCAAGAAGCGTGACTTGTTAAAAGAGGCTAGTTTTGGTGCGTGGTTGCGCGATAACAAGCACTCACTTGTAGATCTTAAACTTGCGGCATTCGCTGCGGCCAATGCCTCGTACGCGCCTTACAGCAGGTGTCCCTCCGGAGCGTCTCTTGTAACGAGGAAAGGCCAAGTCTACAGCGGCTCCTATATTGAATCAGCTGCTTATAACCCAGGACTCCCTGCTCTACAGGCAGCAATTGTAGCATTCATTTGTGGAGGAGGCGGAGCTTACGACGAAATCGATACCGTCATTATCGTGGAGAGAAAAGGCGCACTTGTGCGACACGCACCTACAGCCCGTCTCGCCCTCCAGAGCATCGCCCCGCAGGCAGCCTTCCATCACTTCGAAGTTGATGTACAAAGTAGAGAGTAATGATCTTTGTAGTGGCTCTGGAACTCGTCCTTGATCCCTCCTTCCAGCTCTTCGAGAATTCGTTCGCATTGAATAATTCATTTGCTGCCTCCCTGATTCTTCCTACTCAAATGTGAAAGCATCGTCATATTTAGTCCTCTGGCCCTTCTTCATATAAATAGCTTAAGTAGATTCCAGTTCACTAAACACGTGAATGATAGCTTATTTGAAAACCAGTTTGAAGAACTTACATTTTCGATTCATAGATGCTGCAATTGAACTTCAGCATGCCGAAGCTGTTTTACAGTTTTTAGTGACAGGAATAGCAGAATGCATCCACTGGGCTTTTCAAGTGCTGTGACAAGAATTTTGTACAAGCAATAAATGTTTTCCAAGGGCAGACCTTGTAGCTCCGTGCTACATCCATAAGAAAAAGCTCTCAATTCATCACAATCTATCGCTAGTAAGATTTTATCGTAAGAGGTGACAAACAAACAAACAAACAAGCAAGCAAACAAAATAACTACAATAAAAAAGAGATGTGGAAAATGAATTTGAGTTGATATCTTTCAGGTGTAACTTGATTACTTGTTTTTAATCTAATGCTGTTGGTGAGCCATGAAAATGCTTTGTAATAGATTTCTGCAAAGAGTTTAAAATAATGGTGATGATGTTGCCTTGAAATATACGAAAACATTAATGGAACAACTTGAAATTTTTATTGATGAATTGTAAATTGTCTTGTATTGGAAGTAATGATGTTGACAGCTCTAAACTAGCACATTTGAGCCATGATGGTTGAAATTTATTTTGAAAAGACTTCTTGTGAATCAATATGTTTACTAACTTTGGTCTTGGTACAACTTTGAAAAGAGTAAAGAAAAATAATTCAACTTTGGTAGAATTATTATTATTATTATTATTATTATTTGATAACAAGAAATAGAAGTAA